GGAATACTGAGAGTAGAAGCAAAGACTCCTCACCAGGGAACCTGGGCTCGTATCCTTGCTTAGACCGAAGCCCTCCCCAGCACCTCTGCAGTAACTTGCACCGCTGCCTAAAAAGATGAGACTGGGACAGGACACTGGCACACTGCAAGGGACTTGGGTCAGCAAATGAACACAGACCAAGAGGTTTAGAGAAACGTAGATGGAGACATGCAGCTCCCTGCTCTTTGGGCCGAGGGCCGGGATGCTGCGCTGGCCCAGGCAATGGCGGTCTTTGTCTAGACCTCACTTGCCTGTTGGTATCAGCTGGACAGAACAAGGAGGCGGTAGTATGCTTCTGGTCCCTCTGAGAATTATGTTTCGGAAAGAATGATCTTTTCTTCCATGCACAGCTACTGGTAAAACGAACACCTGAATTTCTGCTACCTGAAGTTTTGAGACTTACGGTTTACCCACACTGAAAGCAGTCACAGCTGCATACTAGGAGGCTCGAAAACTTCCTATCCGAACCTAAACTCCAGCCCTAAGGCCCCTCCTGCTGCCTCACTATGGGCCACCTGCTCCCCCAGTGCCGGCACACATATGGTCTTTGGAACGCGTGCTTACTGGGAGTCCTCAACCTGACTTTCTTGGCCCATCTACCCACATGCTCAGTCCACATTTGCTGCCTGGTTTCAGGCCCTCCCTCATGGAGCCTGTGATCTGGTGGGAAGACACCTGCATGGGGTACACGGAAAAGGAGCTAGTAAGGGAGACGGGGCTTCTCAAGTCCATTTTCCTGGACAAGTGACACTTAGGCTAAAATCTACATAGGGGTTAGCCCAAGTCAGGGCAGAGTCTTCCTGGTCAAGGGAACAGTATGTATACCAAGGCCCCAAGGCCACAAAAACATATTCCGGGAACTAGGCTTAAGGGTAGCAAGCAAGAGTGAAGTGGGGTGAGATGAGATAGGCAGAAGCCAGGTTCCCAAAGTTACTGCTAGACACAAACATTTTTGACAAATTTCATTAACAAGTAGATTATCTGAACTTGATCTTCACTTCAGACCAGGCTTAATTTAAAGACAGCTTTAGAACAAATCCAAGCATCCAACTTGTGGACTGGCTTCGTAAAGGGAACAGCCAGTTGGCCAGGCACAGACCTCCTCAGGAGGCAAGCGCAGCAGCACCAACTGCCCTCGGGTGTGCACGAGAGGCAGCAGGGGCACTGTGCGCGCACACACGGGGCTCAGCCCAGTGAGAGCAGGCTGCAGGCGAGCACAGGCACATGCGGGCACAGCAGAGCCGCACCTGCCCTTCAACTCTAAGTCTAGAGAAAGTCTCCATTCCTTTTTATTGAAGAGATCTTTAAAAAAATTATGTATTTTATTAATTATTATTATTTTTAAAATTTTGCTATGGGGAGCCTGGCAGATGGTGTGGTGGGTAAGGGTGCTGGACTCCCACATGGCTTGCCATGGTCTGAGTCCCAGACCTGGCAACTTACTTTCTCACTTTCCCTTTCTCTCTCCCTCACCCTGTCTCTCTCTGGTCAAATTTAAAAAAAAAATTAAAAAGTTAAATAAAAATAATTCTTAAAAAATTGCTATAGGGCATATACACTCACCAGAAAGACAGAGAGAGACAGAGAGACAGGGGGGATGGCCACGCCACAATCCCTTCTCCTCCGTTCTTCTCTCGGGATCTTGGGCACACACGCACACGTGCCCAGTGTGAGTTTAAGCCACCGGGTTCGGGACGCAAACCACGGTTGACTACATGGGAGTCCAGCGACATAGCCATTACGCTAACTGCTGGACTCAGCTAAATAAAAATAATTCTTAAAAAATTGCTATAGGGCATGTACTCTCACCAGAGAGTGAACGAGAAAAGGGGAGACACAAACCATGTAGACTATGTGGGAGGCAAACACCTTTACCACCACGCTACCTGATGATGCTAAGCTCCACTCCTTTAAGACTTAAAAAGCAGTCTCATCAAATGCAGCCTTGAAATTCTTTTTTGCTGTAGGGCAAGTGCACTCAGACACACACACACACACACACACACAGAAATGAGAAATCACCCAACACCCTCCACGAGGGATAACCATGCCGCAATCCCCTCTCCTCTATCCTCCTTTCAGGATTTTGAGCATGCATGCCCGGCATGTTTCTCAAGCCACAGGCAGTCAGCCACATGGGATTTGGCCACCTTACCCACCAAGCCACAGGCTGTCCCAACACTCTTATGACTAAATGTCTTTGCTTCTACCCAGCACTTGTTCACTTGCTCTGTCCACAGGGCAATGTCATTACTACCGACACAGGGACTTCTCCAGTGACAAGCTGGAGGTTGACTGCATCATCCAAGATGACAGTAGAAGGTATCTAATCTCAGGGAGAGCAGAGACTGTGGTAAACGGAATCCCAGAGGGGTGTCGAGGTGTGAGGGCTCAACCTCAAAAGGGCACAAGAGAAGTATCTTGCTAGAGGAGGCAGCAATATGAGGTTGCCAAGACGGAGGCCAAGGGAACTGACCCCGACAATCGTAGGGGAGATGAGAATTTCAGACAATAGCAACTGCTCAAGCGCATGTTTCTTTAAGAAGGTGAGCAGAAGCAAGAATCACCTTGTTGCAGAAAGACTTTCTCAGCTCTAATTACTCCCGATAGCTGTAATTTACAAGTTTTTGGTGGATAGAAATCGCCAAGATTCTCACATTTTCAGGCCAACAGCTGCCACTATTAGTGAGCAAATTGCCAAGTCTTCTGCACGGTGGTGGCCAGTTACCTGTGGCACAGTCCGTGACAAGTCAGAGGAATGAGGAAACCAGCCACACCAAGTAGCCCCTGGAATCCCCACTGGCTGAGTGGCTGGGCCCAGGCAGGCTGGTGAAGGGAGAG